CGGCGTTCGGTGTAGTCGGGAGCCCGGCCGCCGTTGTGCTCCGCAGCGGCAGAGCGAAGCCGCGGAGATGGATGACGAACCCGAACGGACCAAGCGCTGGGAAGGAGGCTACGAAAGAACATGGTAGGCTTTCCTTCTCCTTCTTCACCTTCTTACTGGTGAAAGATGAGGGGGAAAACTCCCTTCTGCTCAATAACAATCTGTTCTGCCTAGGGAAATTCTTAAAGAAGATGAATCCGGATCGCTGAAAGCGACCGTCGAGGACATTCTTTTCAAGGCAAAGAGGAAAAGGTATTGTGTGTTGCCACAAGCCTGCTGATAGTACTGATTTGGTCGGTTGTAAGGACTTGGTCATTTTGAAACTGGGCTGTCTATGTTGAACAAGCGTGTTGGCATGCCTGCGATATATTTTTGTGTTCTTACCCCTTCAGAGCTCCAGATGCATGCTTCTCACGTGATGCTTGTTAATTGTGCCAGAAGACATTTTAAATTTATCTTTAATCTTAAGAGTGAATGTATACAGGCTAGGTACCCCAGGTGTATGCTAGCTAAAGAAGTGAGGTCTTGATCTGGTGAGACACGGTGCAATGCACAGCAACTGCAATTTGCACTGCTTAGAAAAAATCCTTCAACATTTTTTTAATATAGAAATGTTGCTTCAAGCTGGGTTTTGGTATTATGGCACCAGATTAATGTTTCAAATTGTCAGAAGAATTGCTAGATAAAATCTAGATTTGTTTTATTTCAGATTATGTTAAAGGATTCAAATTTGGATAAAATTTTAAAGTTCCATTAAACCTTGTAGTAAGAAATAGGTCTTGTTTGTTTTCTGAGAGGCGTGAAATCTGTTTGTAATTGAATTGTCTTTTTTTTCAGTGTAAATAAGTGTCTGTGGTTTGTTACTGCCTCATATTTGCCAGAAATCTAGTATTCGCTTTGTTCTGGACTTTTGTTTTAGGAAGTATTCACTCATTTGCACCTTACTTAAATCCTTTTGTGGTTTTTGTAGACTCTGTGAACACCATGGACAAGTTCGACTTGGAATGGTATGTTAATGTCTTAACTCTTGTTTGTCCTGAGTCCAAAACTACTTGAATAGAGGTGATATGCTTAATCTGAAATGCACTTTTGCTGGCTTAATGTGCTTGAGACCAAAGCTTGCATTTTCCAGCAAACCTCCTTTTTTTTTTTTTTTTTTAACATTCTTTGTTCATTGGCAATGTGGGATGTGAAGCACGACTATTCAGAGGTGGAAGTTTGGCATGTTCACTGTATCGGGGCATGTTTTGCAACAGCAGTCAGATCACACATGCTTACGCTGCTGATTTATCTTCATGTGAAAAATGAGCATAGTTTAAATGAGTTGTAAATAACAACATTACTTTATACAATGCTGAGCTGTTCACATGAAGAGATGAAGGTGAAGACTATGAATGTTTTGTAGCTTAGTGTGAGAGGAAAAGAACAGTGTGTGTTTTTTAAGATAGTCTTTTTTTTTTTCATTTTGAAGGAAAAGTGGAAAAAACTCATTACTTTTTCAGTTGCTGTTGATTCCATAGCTCAGTATACTGGATTTTCCATGTTTGAGAGAGGAAATGTTTAAGTAAATGGGATAATGAACAGTTCATTTAAATATCTGTTCTGTAAGTGATGGTCGCTTATGGCAATAATGCAGATGCGTCACCTTTACGTGGTTGTTGATGGATCAAGAACTATGGAGGACCAAGATTTAAAACCGAACAGACTTACTTGCACTTTGAAGGTATTCCTGTACTCAAAAGTTTTCTCTTATTAATCCACAGTTTCTCTGTAAACCAGTTCCATTTTGTATTTAAAAGAATGGCAGTCTCCTGTGACTAGATTACTTTTATAGCCTCATCTCTCCTCTCATCCCGGCTTTTTTTCCCGTTGTTTCTAGTTGCTAGTCTGTAATTTTCCTGTGTTTTTGAATAGTAAATCTGTGTTGACATTAGCTTGCCTTGCATGAATACTTCTTTGCAGTGAAAACACTTTGTAAGGACATATTGTGGAAAGACACATTATGAAAAGTATGTGGAAATTAAGCTGAAGTGTTACCCGTAATGAGGGATATAAGAACAAACATGCTTTCATGACACATCTAGAATTCGTTTTTCCTACAGTTGCGTTTTGATTAATTCTGGTTTGAATGGAAGCTAGATAGGAGCTGCATTGCTGCTTCAGATTGTGAAGGGCTTGAACTGTACATTTGGTACTGTATGATCTTCTCTAATAACACTAAGCATTGAAATGCTGGGTTTTGATGATTTTATACGGATTAGCGCTTTTCGATGTATCTTAAAACTCCTTTTGAACCAGTAGTAATCTAGAACTTTAAGAGGTGAAGTGAATAAAATGTGTGGCTAGGTTCTGAAATTTACTTGGCAGTGGTAACATGGGAGGAAGGAGAAGGATGGAAGTGCTAGGGTGAAAGGAGAATGGAAGGGAAGGGCTCATTTCCCTCCTTTTTTTTTTCCAACTTTTTTGTTTCTTTCAAGTGGTACTTGATGTTTGCAAGTACCACCTACCTAATGCATATGGAATAAAATTTTATGTATTTTTTAAGTCTTAACGTTTTTTTTACAGTTATTGGAATATTTTGTTGAAGAGTACTTTGACCAAAATCCTATTAGTCAGGTATGTATAACCATGCAAGAAACAAGTAACTGGAAACTATTTAAAAAGTTAGTTTTAACTAATTTTTAACTAACCTTTTTAAATAATAACTTTTAACTAAAAAGACAGTTTTAACACTGTCTAGTAAACTGTTTTCAGTTGATGTGTTCCTCCCCATCCGTCTGGTGAAATTCTTGTTTCTGCCTGAACTAATGAAAATATGAACCCATCTATTCCCTTTTTCCTAAACAAATTCTAACACAGAAGACTTGCTTATATGTTTGGGGTTTTTGAGGCATTTAGAATTTTAGGAGATTTATTTTTGTACCTTGTGGCAAAAGAACAGGGGATGCAGGAATGTATGTTAACTGAGGCATGGTGTTGTGCTGCTGTTGTTACATTTACAAGAAAACCTGTAGAGTTAAATAATTCTGATTCATAAATAAGTATTAGGCAAAATATAGGAAAAATGTAAATCAACTTATTGTTAACCTTGCTAAGAAAAATTTTGCCTTTTTCTTTTTTTTTTCTTTTTTTTTTTCTTTTTTTTTTTTTCTTTTCCAGATTGGCTTAATTGTAACCAAGAGTAAAAGAGCTGAAAAAATGACAGAACTTTCAGGTAGGGAGGGAGCTTGTTTCGTTTTTTTAACATTGGAGATTTATTTTAATCTCTTGCATTGATGTAATCTGCCTGGATGACACTGCTGAAAGTGAAGTAGTGTTAACATCATATTTTTAATTTCAAAGAGAAGGTATTGGAAGTTACGAGAAATCAGTCTTTATTTTGATCTGTTTTGATCTAGAATTGTAATTGCATGTTTGCTTGTGATCAAGTCTTATCCAAATTGCAACTAAAATATGTTTTATTTCTCCTATAGTTAATTTCTCACCCTATTTGTTAATTTTGTGTTTTATGACATCTGTGTATTCTGTGAGATCTGACCAGATGTTAAGAAGCAAGGTTTCTTTGGTTCCTGCCTTTTGTCGCGAGCCATCTGTGGGGCTTCAGAGATGAAGTCTTTTTTTCTCTTTATTCGCCTGTAAAACTGGAGCAATTTTATTGAGGAATTTGAGGATCAATCAATCCTTGAACAGTACTTTGAGGATAACGGAGGAAACTAAACTCTGTTTCTGCTGAAACACTTTGTGAGTCACTTCACACTCATGTTAAGTGCTTAATGATACACAACAGTGATTTTATTATTTTTGACCTCTTAAAGTTTCTAGCAATTGAGTCCCTGTAGAGTAAATGTCTTTCTTTTAATACATTGTTGTTTTTTTTTTCTACTTTCTGATCAAGAGGTAGGTCAGTTTCTAAGGAGAAACATAGAGTTACAAGTCACAGTTTTAAAAACTGTTGTTCTATAGGTACGTGTTATTAAATATATAGTTTAAATATTTCAATTATTTTAACTTGTGGGTTTAGGTGGATTGTTTTTTCACTTACAGGTAACTCAAAAAAGCACATAACCACCCTGAAGAAAGCAGTGGATATGAACTGCACTGGAGAGCCATCTCTATACAATTCCCTAAATTTGGCCATGCAGACTTTAAAGTTAGTATATACATGGAGGGTTTTTTTGGTTTCCTTGTTTCCATAATCAGTATAATGCTGATTGTGAATATTTGGAGGGGCAGAGACAGTATTTTTTTGTAAGTACCATCTTGCATCGTATTCACCTGAGTCTTTTAAAAGGACAGCTTTTTCTCCTCTTACAATGCAAACTGTTAAGAACTTAAATATGCTAGTAGTGCAGAAGTTCATTTTCTAACACAAGATGCTTCTATTTAGAGGTGTGCTCCTTATAAAAATCAGCATTTTAAAATGAAGTAAATTATTTTATGTTGTTTATGAATATGGTGGTGAAAGACCCTGCAATTAATTATTTTTTTTACTAGAGGGCTAAGGTAGAAGAGAGGGCAGAGTTACGGGTTACTAATGATAAGAGAACAGGAAAAGAAACAGCATTCAATCACAATAATCTGATGGGAGTTTTGGCATACTTTGAGAGGTAAATTTTGGGGTAAGATAGATTTTAAAAAACTTTTTTGCTATGTGAGGTATTGGGATGGCATAAACATTTGTGGAAGACTGTTTAAACAGCTAATTATAGCTGGAAACACTGACAGAACAAAGCTAGTAGTCAATGTCATAAAAAATTAGTTGAATGACTAGTTGGGAGAGAGTTTTCCATTAAGAATTAAAAGACAATAGTTAAAAGTAACGGATTTACACCTATAAACTGATTAGAGATTTTTATTTTAAGAAGTCAGGAAGACTGCAGTGTTACTAGTTTCAAGGTGAATTTTAACTGTGAGAGTACAGATAAGGTACAGGGATAATTTAAGCATTAGAGTAAACAATCAGACAGCAGCTACACAATCAAATACTGTATTTTAGATACTGGAAAGGTTTGGCTTTTGGCAGGTGAAATTCTGATGCTCAGAGAAGGATCTTTCTACAGTTTTTTATAATTTGTAGGGAATTTCATATCATATAGTCTTCTTACTTTAGTACCTTGAAGTCTTTGAAAACTTTAGCATACAAGTAGCCCAGTGTACAGAAGTAAATTAACTGTATACCTTCTTTAGGCACATGCCAGGACATACGAGCAGAGAGGTTTTGGTAGTCTTCAGCAGTCTGACAACATGTGATCCAGCCAACATCTATGATCTAATTAAGGTACAGAAGTGAAGTTTGAACATCCAAGGTATTCCACTAAAAACAGACAGTTGCAGTGTCATTGCCAACTAATTTTCATTTAAACTTTGAACCTTTTTACTGTTTTCTGTTCTGCATATGAATTTGAGTATGCTTTGTTTTTCCATTCGAAGTGTTTAAAAGCAGTTAAGATCAGAGTATCTGTCATCGGCCTAAGTGCTGAAGTTCGAGTTTGTACAGTACTGGCCCGAGAAACTGGTGGTATGTATTTGAAGTTCAGTAGTTATACTACTAATACAAGTTTAAAATTGAAAATAAGTAACTAACTTGTCATATATTCATTAATGCATTTTGATATTTAAGGATGAATATTCTGTTGTGCTGGCAGAAAATGTAAGGTTTTCCCAAATCTACAAAATACACAGTACTTAGTGAAATTATTATCAGCTGGTAACTGCATCTCTAGAGAGAAGAAATACACATATTTTAAAACCTAGTGTTCCACATGTAAAGCTATGTGATGTGGAACTTAATGCAACATGTTGCATTACTACAGTGGTAACTCTTGCAATATCATTACTACAGTGTAATGTTGGAGAAAAAGCTGTGGGCCTTCATACCTAATTAAACATTCTGGTGTTGCTAATTTTAAAACATTCTTTTCAGTAGCATTAATGGGACTGGTTTTTAGGAACAGGGTTAGCTAAATTATTTTCTTTACTTGTTTTCTGTCATTTGGAAAATATGTTTGTCTTTCTTATCTGCTCATAATCTGAGAGTAAAGCATTTCTTTTTTCATGACAGGAACATACCACGTTATTTTAGATGAAAGTCATTATAAGGAACTGCTGATGCATCATGTTAGTCCTCCACCCGCCAGTTCAAGTTCTGAGTGCTCCCTTATTCGAATGGGTAGGATATGGTTTTGTTAAAGTCCTAGCAGAAGATGTGTGAATCGTGTATTTTTCCTTCTTTGCATCTTCTGTGCAAATCTATGCTTCAGAATAGTTGGAAGCATAATAAAGACATTGCACAATTGTGGTTTTTTATTTTAACTTTTATTTTTCCAAATAGATATCAATTTTCTTGATGTCATTCCGGCAAACTAGTCACCTTTTAAATAAAGTTAAGAATTAAAGATGACAAATTACTCAACTGCAGTTGGAAACAATCAAGTGGAATGATTCTGCTTGTACAGTAATCGGTGTAAATGTAATACTTAGAAATGAAGGATGAGAAACTATTTTGTTTCTCCCTCTGTTGTTTTTTTTTCCCTGCAGAAGGCAACTATTATAAGCTTAATTGCCTGTAAGAGCCATCTGTTTGGCCACAGTGTTAGGAGCACTGTTGTGGTGTTCTTTCAACAAATGGATTAGGTACCTTTTTTTCTCCTGATGTATTTCTCAATAAATTTAAGTGTGGAGTTAAACCAGAATAGGAACCTTAGTGCCACAATTTAGAACATTAATTTCTCACTTTCATCCCCCCTTTTTCACTGATAAAATGTATATATTTTTATGTGTAGATTTAAATACTGAAGAGATTTGCCTTTTATAGGTAAAGCCTGAGCAGTTGTCAGAAAAATTAACTGCCCACTTGACATGAGCTATAAAAAAGAAGTGGTAGAAAGAATGGTATCTGTTACAGCCTTCATGAAGTGCTGTAGTCTCATCTGTCATATACTGCACTTGGAAGGTGAATATATACTTGATGTCTGCATATAAAAAATATTTTGCCCTTAATTAGAAACCATCGTTGATGTGAATGTAGTGCTTTTTCTGCTTTCCTGCCATTGCACATAATTTTCTTTTTGGTGTTCTTCAAAAATGGGATTCCAGTGAGCTTCAGTTAATATGAAGTCTGTGGAAAGATTTTTTTTCAGCTGGGGGGAAATACAATGACGGATTCATTGGTGGATGTAGGTAGAGACCTTTAGGAAGAATTTGATACCTATTAAGAGTGTATTACTTCTCTTCTCCTGTAATAACAAACAAACAAAGATACACGCCTTAATGTTTAGAATAATCTTTGAACTTTTCCGTTGAGGTAAGAAACTGAAAGATTACTTGCATGTTTAAAATTGGTAATATGGGATGTTTTTCTCTTAAGGTTTTCCTCAGCATACTATTGCTTCTGCAGCTGATCAAGAGGCAAAGCCATCTTTTAGCATGGCGTAAGTAGAGTTGATTAGAATTCAATGAGCTGATGGGGATTCAATGATAAGTAGTCAATATTTAGAAAATCTGCTTTTCCGTGAAAATATTGCAAAATAACATGAAAAAATAGTAACGTCTTGTGACTTCTCACTAGATATTTTATTGCACATCTAGTATGTGCCCATGTTACCTCTGTTAAATATGCCTTTTAAAATTTACATTTAAAATTTTTTGAAGGTAGTAAATGGTTTTTAGTTGTGTTCTGCAGTGATTAGAACTCAAGGGTGCTACAGGGTATTAAAGTAACTACTACCAGTTTTACGTGCATTTCTTGATACAAGTGTTTTTATCACTATAAAGATAATGATGAGAATGAAGGATATCATCTGGAATAAGTATTTTTTATCTATTTGCTAATGTGACTTTAAAGAGAAGTTTATTTAAACGCCTCACTTGATTAGTGTAGCAGTGCTCTTCTCAATGAAAGGAATCATAGTTTTCAGGAATGATAGGGGACTCTGAATTTTCAGAAGGAAACAGTGTCTGCTGTTTGAAAGAGTATGTACTAATCTGCATCTTAAAGTCAATACAGAATATTTGTGTGTGTAAGTAGAAATACTAATGCCATTATCTTTCATAATTTTTTTAAAGAAATATTGGCTCCTTTATGTGGGAAAATTTGGTGGTTTTCTGTTTCTGTGGGAAAATGTGGTTACTGATATTTCACCCTATCAGTTGCTTCCTGACACTTGCAAACACGTGGAACTGTTGCATGGAAGCTACTGAAACTTTTTAAAACTATGTTGTGAGAACTGCGTAGTATTTGTAGTTATGTAGTAGTATGGTGTTATCTCTTAGGTATTACATTGTCTCTCTCTGCTTTAGGCAATTGGAAAACAGTAGTGAGCCAGGTCTTACACTGGGTGGATATTTCTGTCCCCAGTGCAGAGCCAAATACTGTGAACTTCCTGTGGAATGCAAAGTCTGTGGTGAGTAGCAAGAAAAGATGAGCAGATGAATTATGTGTTAGTGGTAAGAGAGTTAAAGGGTAGAAAAATTCAACTATATGTAGGAATTACAAGCCAGCTCTGCTTTAAGAAGCCTGCATTCCTATGTTGCGGGTTGTCAGCTTTGTACAAGGGACTTTCAGGACTATGCCTGTAACAGTAAAGCTGTATCATATTCCCTAGTGTAATGTTATAAACTAAAAGCCCTAAAGCAAAGGGGGGAAGAAGGGTGATTCACACATGAGTGGTAATCATTTCCTCAAGAATCCTGATTTAACAGGCACACCAGTGTGTCAGACTCCTCAGTGCAAGGCCATGAAGATAAAGAGTGCTTTGGAGTAAAAGGACAGAAGCACCCCCTCACCTCCGGACAAAAAGTTTTAAAGTTGAACCCAAGGGCAAGCTGCAGAGTGACACGTGAAAGTTGTAAATGGAAGCCGTTCAATGTTGCAAATGTTAATGGATTGTGCAACCAGTGGTGCCTTCCCCTCCTCCCCTCTAATGAGGGTGAGAGGGCGGATTAGCATTTTTTATAGTATTAATATTGTGTGAGCAACAGCTGTCCTTCTGTTAGCTTCTACAGGCATATGACTAAAACATGATATGTATTAAGATGTGTGTATTTGCCAAGAGGATAAAATAATTCTAGTTTGGGGTCATCACCTTGTCCTAGGTTCATGTAAAGATTTTCATATCAGCATGAGTTTTGTTTCAGCAAGCTAATAATGTAACTGGAGGAATCGTATGTGTCAGCAACAGATTCTCCATGGCTGCAGCTGTCAGCAGAACAAGAGCTCAGAAGTTTACACTGCGTGTGAGTGAGCAATGAAGAGAAGTTAGTGCCAGCCCATGCCCCAGCTAACACTAGACTGTTGTGGTGGCTTAACCCCAGCCAGCAGCTACGGCCTGCACAGCCACTTACTCACCCCTGGTAGGGTGGGGGAGAGAATCTGAAGAGTTAAAGTAAGAAAACTTGTGGGTAGAGGTAAAGACAGTTTAACAGGTAATGCAAAAGCCACACACGAGCCAAGCAAAGTAAGGAATTCACTCCCCACTTCCCATGGGCAGGCAGGTGTTCAGCCATCTCCAGGAAAGCAGGGCTCCATCACATGTAATGGTCACTTAGGAAGACAGATCATCACTGGTGATGGGAAACAGCAGAACCATTGTTGCCAAACAGTAGTTGTGCATTTAGATTTAATCGGAAGACTCATTTTATAGTTGCATTTGTTTATAGCTTGAGGACGAAAAACTTAATAACTTTACAACTGTGCATCATAAATGTAAAAAGACTGAGTTAAACCTTTTAGTTAGAAATTTGGGCAATTTTCTTGTTTTTCTTTCCAGAATTAAATCCAAATATAATTACAGGTTTGGGCTATGGAAGCTAACAAATAATTTTATCATTTTTAATACTTAAAAACTCTGAACCACTGAGTAATATAATTTTTTTTTCTTTTTACTTTGTTTAATACAGAAAAGATTTTCAGTAAGTCCTCTCTTGTAATAATTTTGATGTCTCTCTTTATTTGCAGGTCTTACGTTAGTGTCTGCACCTCACCTGGCCCGGTCTTACCATCACTTGTTTCCTTTGGATGCCTTTCAGGAAGTTCCCCTGGAAGAATATCAGGGGGAACGGTATGCAAATCATATTTGTGATAATGAGTGTACTTGTAGACCCTGCAATTTTTTTGTCACAAAAGTAAGAATAGCTGGCGGCAGCTTCTTTGCTGGTGGTGACAATGTTGAATTTTTGGGCAGGTTGCGGCACCTCTGACAATAAGAAATATTTGTAATTCCTATTAACAGTTATTCTGTGTGTTCAGTTGACTATCTGAAATAATTGCCATAAAATGTGTGTGAGATGGTTTTTAAATACTATTTTACACGATCCTGACTTTTTCCAGTTAAAATACACAATTTTGCTTTTAGGTATTGTCAAGGCTGCCAGGGAGAAATGAAAGATCAAAATGTAAGTATGTTGAACTGCACTGGAATTTGCATTGAGGGATATCAGAAGTAAAGATGATCCTTCAGTATAGTCTTTTAAAGACCAGAAAAATGTTTATGGCAGTTTATCTCATGGTTAACTAGAGTTCTCTGTCATGCCTTTTAGACTGCAAAGTCTACAAAAGGGTGCGAAGGGACTTCCTAGAAAGTTGCATAAATAAACTTCCACTCTTAGCCATTTAGAAGCATCTACAATGACTCAAGCTCAGCCCTTTGGACATATTTGATATTTGAAACTTTAATTCAGTTGGGTTTCTGTGATTGGAGCAATGTATTTAGTCAATTTATGCTGTCTTGATGACACAACTGTTTCCCTACTGTGGTGCTATCATGGTGATAATTTTTTTCTGATTTGACTTCTTTTTCTGTCTTTTCCACACAGGTTTACATATGTAAAGTGTGTCAGAATGCATTTTGTGTGGAATGCGATTTGTTTGTTCATGATTCCCTGCACTGCTGTCCTGGCTGTATTCACAAGCACCCTGCTCTCGTATCTGTATGATGTCATCTCTTTTCAGAAATTGACATATCTATGTCATTCTTGCATACATCTATTTTGTTTATTCAGCCACAGCTTTCACTGAGGCATCTCAGAACAAGGAACTAGGTGATTACAGAAGGATGAACACTGGCTTCAGAGCAAATTTTAAATTTTACCTGATGTATTAATGATTTTATTACTGTTAATATATTGCTGAATTATCTGTATCTGATTTATTTTCTTTGTCCTTATCTGAAAAGCTCTGGCTTTTTCAGAATGTTATTGTAACATGTATATTTGTAAATGCAAAAGTGATAAAACTGGTTTGTATGATAATGTGGGGATTCATCTTTGTTTTGTTATTTGTTCAAGAAAGAAGCTCTGAAAATGTATTTTATATATCAGTTGTTATAAGCTCTTGGTTTTGGTGGATGGTGGAATTTTATAGATCAAAATATATTTTTTTTTTTGTAAGAGTTTAACAAAGATGGTTTTGAGCAACTAATTGGGGGACATTACAAATATTAATTTCAAGCATTGTGGCTATTCACCTTGGCCTTCAGTAAGGCAGCTCAAATACAGCTGTTCTAAATGTGCTGAAAACACATTTTAGGTTTTAATGGTACAATTAATAACGAACTGAATTCCATTACTGGCGTGTCTGTAGTTGTGTTGTTTAAGTTTCATTTTCTTGTAGGAGTGTAAGGTTACTGAAAGGCAATGAATTTGCAAAGGTGTAAGACCTGAGTTTATACAAACTGTTGTTTGATGGTCAAAGTATGGAAGACAGTGATGCTATTTTGATTGAATTGCCAGAACTGCAAGTCATCTTCTCTCCTTCGCTAAACCCCCAAAGCAACAGACAGTAAGGTGGGGGGAGAAGGGGAAGCATGTGTTCTTATCTGAACACGGAAGAATGGAAACTGAGACAAATGCAAGACACTCTGCCACTTTACAGTGTCTGTACGATTTGACCTTGTGAGAATGTTCCATGCTATACCTCAGTAAGTGGAGGTTATGATGGCGCAGTGTATAAAGTAGTACATCACATCTGGTGTTCTAAAGTCATCTTGTGATGTTTGTAATACCTCCAGAGTAACTCGGGTCGCTGATGTATCTGACTTTATTTTTAACATTGTGATTCATCTGTCAGATTAGGGACAGCAGTAATCTAACCTACCACTGAACCTTAAAAGTGCAAACAAACAAAAAAAGCAAACCTCTATCATAAGTTACTTCCCTGGTTTTCACGCTCGCCACATACAAACAGTACATGCTACTTTTCCGTTTTCACAGGCAGTTTTCAAGTACTTTAAATATGCAAATTCTCAATTGTTAGCATAGCTCCTGTGCTTTTCCTGCTATTTATGCCTGTAGGTTGGCTTGAATGCAGTAATTCTGCTGGGTTGGTGAAAAAATGACTGTTTCAGCATCTGTGTTTCATTTTGTGCTGAGTCAAACAATCCCTATAAGCCCTTTGTGCTATCAGGTGATTGCAGTGTCTGTTGCAGTAAGGGTATCCTAAAAACTAGTAGAAAAAGGACATGTTCATGGATTTTGGTGTGGTCTAGTAGACCATTCCAAGCCAAAGGAAGGCCCTAAGAATCTGGGTCTTAGGTATACTGATAATATTTTTATCTTCACAATCAACATTTTGTAATGGAAAAAAAAAAATTCAAAACACTTTAAAACTCTTCTAGCTTTTTCTCTTGCTAGATACCAAAATAACATACTTGGAAGTAGAAGCTGTGTAGAGGTTGTGGCCATATACTTCATTATCTGCTGGTGGTCTGAATAATAATTTGGCTTGTACTTTTCCACCCTTCTCACTGGATGTGCAAACTAGGTCCTGAAAAATTGCTTTCAGGGCAACATTTCTCTGATGTATAAAGAATTTCATCTGTGGCCTTTCTATTTAAAGCAGTATGGAGCAAATGCTTCCTTCATCTGTAGTCTGACTAGGATTCAGTGGATCTCGAGTCTCCTTTGCTAGTGGGAAGCTACAACTTGCTTAATTCTTGTTGTATTTTCATGTACAAGATCTGCCAGAAGATTAGTCAATCAGTGACGTTATTAGCAGGCCTGTGAGAAACGCTTACACTTCCTGAAGATGTTGCATAATACAGTTTGGACATAAAGGGTTGAGGGAAGAGACAAAAAAGCAGAAACATGCTGTGGTGGGGTTGAGGACACAATTGTGGCAAGAGGTTTGAGGCTGAAAGGCACAGTGCGACTAGAGCTCACTGTCGTGTGGAGTGAAGGAGATTTCAGAAAGGTGAGTGCCTTTGCTTTACTGTCCACTTTATATTTTCCTTACAGGAATAAAAGTTACCATCCCTATTAATGGTTGTAACTAATTTCCAATACTGGAAATGCTGAAAATACATTAATTAAAATATGAGTAAAAGAAATGTCTGGTTTTACTTTTGTGTAACAACCACAACTTCGGAAGAACTTACATGGTATCCTGGTCTAGCTCATGCAATATGAGAAACAGTTTTAATTCTAGATTGTGATTTAGCTTATGGATGAAAAAAATGCTATAAAGTACTAACTTTGAAGCATTACTGGATTGTGCAGGCTCCTAGCTGAAGAAATGAGAGTAGATTAATTCTGTTGTAGAAGTTGTCATGTTTGAATAAGAATCACATCTCCATATTTAGGAAAAAGAAATGTGGTACCCATAGTGCAATTCATGAAAGTAGTTTTTCAAAACGTAATAGAACTTGAAGACTTTTACAACATTTGCAGCACTTTTTGCCTTGGGAATTGAAAGCACTTAAATTGTTTAGCACACATTTTCCTACAAGAGGAGAATGAGATTTTTGTAACCAGTGTAAAGGAGTAAAACCAACAGATGGGAGATTCTGGATTTAGAATCATTTTCTTAGGGATTAATTTGTTTGGTAAATGTTGTGAATCTCTTAAGATCCTTCAGTTATTTGAGGAGATAAAGCAAAGCTCTTTGGAGACGTTTGGGAGCAGAATTTAACCATATGGAATTGAATTGTAGATATGTTTGCTGCATTCTGAACCATCACATAGGAAAATATTTCCTATGGTTGTCTTACCACAGTACTAATAACAGCAAAACGTTATTACTTCTACAAGACAATGTAATTTGAGAAACCTAGTGTAAATACCTAACATTTAATAAAATGACTTTATTAGGGAAGTGTTGACGGTATGAGTTTGGCAATGAAGTTTATTGCCAAATTAATTTTGTTTTGAGATGATGAAATCTCAGTTTCTTTTCATGCAATTCCTGCTAGTCACTACCTATATTGAAAACAGTTGAAATTTTAAAATTCTACAATAAAACAATTGCTTTTTTGATACTTTTTTTTTTCCTACTTCTCACTTTGTCCCATCTTCCATTTGGCATTGTGTTTCAGTTTTTTTCCTCATTTAAGGAGAAATTCTAAGTGTGCTAGCAACATGCAGTCGTGGCTTTGAGATGGAAGAATTGAGATGATAGAGGCATGTTGGTTTACCAAGGCCATTCTGGGTTTTCAAGCTACAAGATGAAGTTCTTAGGATCTGCCACTGATCTGTGTCATCTCACTCAAATTTCACCTGTTTATGTCTCTTCTTTCCCTCTATTTTGGTTGTAAATGCTTCAGGATACTTGTGTTGTCCTTGTGGTCAATCACAGTTAGCAGAAATCTCAATTTGGCGACTCAGATTTGTAGTAGACTTGTTTATATAAACTCTCCAGTTACCTTATCTCTTAATATTAAGGTGAAATCAAGTGTTTATAAGCTGTAGAAACCATGTTATTAAGGTAACAGAGATGATGACTAAATATTATCTAACAGATATGGGTAATATAATTTGGTAGTCTTCCTTGTTTTTTTAGCAAATGTCTGCCAAAGAGGACCCTACAATGGAGACAAGTGACAAAGAAATGCATGAGCTGAATCCTTCTGCAATGCAAGCTCTTTTCCCGCATGCAGCCTTTGATTTTCACAAGTTTGCCAAAGACATGGAGGCAGAATTCCAAGAATTCCGTGAACAGCTGCAGAACAGTTACAACCCTACCATGAGAAATGAGCACAACAGATTAAAGTCCTTCTTGTCCTATACATCTCGTTCATCATGGTCTTTGACAGAAATGGCAGCTGCTGGGTTTTATCACACACTTGTTAAATCTAGTGTGCAGTGTTTTTGCTGTGGATTAGTTTTATTTACCACAAAGGTTAGATGTACCCCATATGAACAGCACAAGAAATTTCGTCCTACTTGTGAATTTGTCCTGGGCAAAGAGGTGGGTAATATTTCAAAGTATGACATACGTGTTCAGAAGTTGGAGAACCCAGCAGAGCACGCCTACAGGTACAGTGGGGAGGACGCGAGGCTGCAGTCCTTTGATGGGTGGCCATTTTATGCCAGAGGAACAAAGCCTGACTTGCTTGCCAGAGCTGGGTTTTTCTTTACAGGTAATTAGAAACAATGCTTGGAGAGATTTCTGTTTTGATTTATAAAATTGTGTGACTCTAGTTACAATACTTGAATGGGTATAATGTTTTTTTCATGCCACTCATGATTTTGTAATGTATTGTATCCCCCGTAAATGCTTGCTTTCCCAGGCTGAAGAACATAGGCACCTCAACTGTTCCTTATGCAGAAGGTGTTCCACATTTTTGTTGACCCTTTTTGCTGCTCTCTGCACCTTTTCCTGTTCTAATACACTATTTTTTTTAGCTGGGGTGATCTCAATCACATGCACTGTTTAAGATGTGGATTAATCATGGGTGTGTACAGTGGCATAATTGTACTTTTTACTGCTTATTTGTCTGTAACAGATGCCAGGCTTAGAGATCTGATGTCTTTTCCTCTCCTCCAAAAGTGCAGAGTGCTTTTTAAAGATTGGCATTATGTTTTCCCCACTCAGCCATAACCTATTGCATAATTACTTAGATTTTGGATCCACTTTCTGCTGTATGGCCCCCCTGCTTTAGACAATGGGAATCTTCCGGAATTCTTCTGCAGTGAACATGAATTCAAATATTGCAGAGCACGTCACTTCAAGTCCTCTGCAATTGCATTTCCCCTTTTGAATGGTTCTTTTACAGCCTGGTCAGCAGTTGGCTCTATGAGCTCTTTTCAATGGCTTTTTGTTCCCACTATCTGGAAGAAGGTTTTGATTCCTTTAGCTTGTTACTCTTGGACTTTTTTTTTTCTAGCCTGCCTGATTTTATTTTCACACTTCATCTGCCAGAGCTTTTGAGCCTTCTATTTTCTTTGCTAAAAGCTTCAGCTTTTTGAATGATACCTTCTTGTAATCTGATTTGTTTTTCCTAGCAGTGATACTAATTTCCTGTAACTTTTCATAAGTCTTTTCTAATAAATAGCACATACTGGTGTTGCACTTCCAGTAAAATATCTTTCAGGAAACTCCCAAATGCCTGTAAGAGAGTTGGAGGGGGGAGCGTGAGGGGGTGGGTATTTTGTTTTGGTTTTTTTGGTTGGTTCATTTTATTTAGTCAGACATTTCAGCTTCCTTAGCTTTACACAGTTCCTGTTGCTGAAGTTTAACACAAGCCTTAGTAGGTTCCCTGTTTCTGGGGGGGGGACGTTGCATCTAAGTAAATGACAGTCATGGTTACACAGTGACACTTCCACTATGAGACTTGGAGCTGTTCCCAGTGCATTTCTCAATAGCAAGTCACATCACCTTGTAGATTTGCTAACCAGTTGCCCCATGAGATTATGCCTGATGGCCTCTTAAGAAAAAAAAAAAAAAAATCCTCTCTACTTTGCATCTCAAGGTGGTATCTGTGCTGTCCACTTGGGGGATAACTGGAGTCACTGGGTACAATTCTATTTCTTGCCCAGTGTCTCTCCCATTTCTTTGAGCATTACGTTACTCAGTTTTGTCGTACTGGTTGGTTGGCTGGTAATACGGACCAAGAACAGTATTATTGCAATAGAGACCTGAAATTCCAGTCTGTAGAAAATCTTTGCTCTTTGTTGGTTAGTTCGATTTTGTTCTAAGATGTCATTAAGATCTGATATTCCATTTCCTTCTAGCACTGTTTACTCAGTTTTCCCTGAATATTTTATATACTGGCATTACAGCATTTGACTGACCAGTCTGTCTTCCACATTTATAATGACTATCAATATGGTAACTTAGGGACAGAAATTCTAGTTCTCCCTTCTTAGTCCATTGGTTTCTAGAATTATTCACTTACTTAACTTTTACAAATAAACTGACTAGCTAGAAAGCAAAATTAAAAAAAAAAACACCAAACAACAACAACAAAAAACCCAAAAGCAAACGAACAAAAAACCAGAAAAGACAAGTTTATTTATCAAGCCTGTACAATTTCTCAGATATCTCTGGAGTTTTATTTGGATGGAAAGATCTATCCTATATTTTCACTCTTGGATCTGCACCAAGTTTAGACCCAGACTGACCCAACTGAAATAAAATGGAAATCTAAGCAGTTTTGTAAACTTTTTTCATTTCAGTTGCTGTAATCTAAGAAAAAGACTTCCCTTAGCTACAAATTTTGGATCAATGATATACACTTGTATACTCATGCTCACGTGGCTAGAGTGCGAGCAAGTAAAACACACAAATGTGTGATTATCTCTGAGATCTGTAATCCTTTACATGCAGGCAAGAAAGATACAGTGCAGTGTTTCGCTTGTGGTGGATGTCTGGGAAATTGGGAAGATGGTGATGATCCTTGGAGAGAACATGCTAAATGGTTTCCTGAGTAAGTTGGCTGACTGTCCTAGAAATATTTTTAAATGTACAAAAAGTTTGATTTGCTTTGATTTTTTTTTTTAATCTTCAGCAACAATGCTTGAAAGCAAACAAAAAATCCCACATTTTTGTCTTCAAAGTTGTTATATTGAGACAATCAATTTCAGCAGATCTTTATTTCTGAGAACTGAACACTATAATTTTGCTATCCCTAACTTTGTAATTATTCTGTATATATTGTTTTATTGTTTTACATACTCTCTAGAGATCTCCCATGGGCTTTTCATTGAGCAAAAGCCAGCTGATTATTTCTCAGATAGTCACTATGTTGCATGAGCAATGCTAATTTCAACAAAAATTTTGCCTTTGTTTCTGTTGTGAAAAATCTTGAGTATGCACTTCTTAACTGAAACACTGCTTGCAGAATATTAGTTGGAATAAATGCTTACGAATAATGTTTTCGGCTTTTTTAATAGGTGTGAATTCCTTCAAAGTAAGAAATCAAGTGAGGAAATTAAAAAGTACATTGAAACCTATGGTGGATTTGTTGGAGTAGTGGTAATCTTGTAATCTATTTCAATCTTCCTTTATCATGGAATACACCTCAAGGAGGCGTTATCCAGGACTTGAAGATAGGCAAATTAGGCCTTGACCCTTATTTCCACCCTCTCCCTCCTAAAAAAAATAAAAACCCCAACAACCCAAAAGCTGTATATAATTGCATATGTAATTAACACTACTATGGAGTCTAGGCAGAATTTGTTTTATGTAAGTTTATTTTGATGTGTATGTCCAAGCTGCTTGCCTAGGCAGTACCTAGGAAGTCCATTGATGAAAAGCAACATACCTCTAATTGGCATTTATCCTACTTGAAGGCAGACAGATGAATTAACTCTTCATGGCACTTATACATATATATTATTAGGAAGATTGTTGTAGATGAATATGCTAAACTAAGCACTTCTGCATGGCTGGAGTCAGGTTAGGTGAATTCTACCCTGTCAGCTCTTCTTGTACACCTTTATCTTTGTTTGGGGGACTTGCTTTCATCAGGAAAAAAATATAACGTATGTGAGATCTTTCATGATTAAAATCCCTGTGCCTCAAAAATCTCAAAACTTCCGGAAGCTAAACCCATTAGCTGATGTAAGATAAGAGGACTGCAAGTATTGCTTGGAAAACACCATCTCGGATATCTTAAGAGCATCAGTGCTATCTCTCTTTCTTTAGAGTCTGAGGAGAGCCAATTCTTCTCATTAATAGTAACCTGTCATTAGTCAGTTCTGTTTCAGAAAATTCTCTCTCTCAAACTGAAAGCATTAAAATGTTGATAGTTAGTACTAGCCCTGTTAATACATTCTAGTTATTTCTCTCATTTAGCTGAAGAGTGAAATTAAAATAGAATGCATAATAGAAATAAGTATTAATTTTTAATTTTCTGCCTAGGGGAGGCATTTCACAGCTTCCTTTATGAAGGAGAATTTATCTACTGCAACAGGTAAAAAATAGAGTATACTGACTGTTAGCTTTTCATTAGAAAATAACACCTTCGTATTTTTATTGTACATCGCCATTAACAATGAAAGCTGCTCCAGACTGTTGCCTTGTTTGTTGTTTCTTATTGAAGCAAGATTACATGTATGAAAGATTATTTGTTCTGTATTTCTGTTTGCTCTTTATAGAATCTAAATATAAAACATGCTGCTTGGGTAGATATATCTCACTTGTATCTGCCTGTGTAAGAAAGAGGTGAAAAATAAAAGAAACCTGAAGGCTTTGAAAGAAAAACCGAAATTTTAATCTGTACTATAGATCCAGAATCACATTTATAATGTCTGAAAGATACAGTTCTGCAGTTGTGTTTTTGCTTTGTTATAAGCCTGAGATGTTTGCAACCTAGTTCTGTTCCTGCTTTGGAGAATCTGCTGGCAGGTTAAAGCTTTCCTAACAAATCAAATATCTTTGGTTGCAAAGGTGATCTCAACTTCAACATCTTTGAGGATGAAGGCGTTCGACTGGACTCTTTTAAAACTTGGCCAGCAGAAGCCCATGTTGAAGCCACTGCTCTTGCTAAAGCCGGGTTTTTCTATACAGGTTTGAACCAAGTTTGTTAGCTATATAAACACAGGACAAGTAAAAGATCCACTTTCCAATGCAGGTGGGACAGTGGTTCAAGATAATCCTGGTACCTAATTAAAATCTTGCTTTAGCTTTCAGTAAGGACAGTACCGCAGCTGCAAAATCAGAATGGCTTTTGCAAAAGCTGGAGCAAGTGCATCAAAATGGAATGACCTGTCTGAGGTGAAAGCCAGAGTGAAGAGTTGCAAGGAGGATATGTTTTTAGAAAGGAGAAAGCATTTATCTGGGCATTTGTATATTCATTTGTCTGGTGTTACTAAAAGGACAATAATGGCACATCTCTCAATTCTGTGATTTTCCTTGATTTAATTTTTATTATTCATGATTTTAAAAGCATGTAATTCCAGTAACAGATAGAAGTCACCAAAGTAAACTCATGAAACAAGTGTACTGTTGCAGTTTTTATGCTATTGGCATGTTAGTAAGGAAAAAAAAAATCATGCACATGACCATTTTTGAGGTGTGTAATTTCTTGCTTGCAGGAGAAGGTGATAGGGTACAGTGCTTCAACTGTGCAGGTTGCTTAAGGGAATGGGAAGAAGGTGAAGATCCAATGAAAGAACATGCAAAATGGTTCCCTGAGTGAGTGACTGAGTATCTTAAGATAATTTCCTGCTGTGTGATGAAAGTTGCCATACACTTTTGCTGTTGTTTTTTTTAATACTACTTCAAATGTATATAAATAACTATATGTTTCCTGATTTCATAGGGCATTGTGCCTCTGTGAAAACTGTTGGGTTTTTTTAGTTAATATTTAAATATAGAAATTCAGTAAAAGTTGGTTTTTTTTAAAAAAGAGTGTTTGTGAAATAGTTCCATCATTCTGCCAAATGTAAGTAATTGAAGCAACGCATTGCACTAACTGCTCTGTCTTCTGAAAACATCATTCTAGTTCCAACTGCTTGGAAGTACTTGGAAAGTCACTGGAAGAGCAACCAGAGAGCCCATCGACATTACAGTCTGTACAGGTTTGGCCTAGTCTGCGGTATTTGCTGTTAGTGAAACAATATTCATGCTTTGCAATTTTGAATGACGTTTCCAGTTACAGGGAGCCTCTGTGCATGTGCATGCAGAACGAGCAGCAATGGCAGCTTATTGCAGTTCTTCATCCCAGCCAGACTTTCGAATGCACTACATTTCAGAGGTAGCTGAATATGTAGGGGAATGTGACCTGCATCAGCATGGTGCAGGCAGCAGCAGCTCCCCTCTGCCTCTGTAAAGGTGTTTCTGAGCCCGTGGCTCCGGTACCTGCGGTGTTCAAACACATATCCCCAAATAGCGGCTGCCTGCCTGCAGGCATTGACCTGAGTTGTCTCTTCAGGGCAGCTACTGGCAATCAGCTTTTCAGTAATTAACAGCAATCCTTTGCTGGCAAATTGTAATGTGCGCAACAGCCCCTGGACCCCTGGGCTGCTCTGTCCGTAGCAAAGTACCCCAGTTTGGGGTGCTGGGCACAGCCACAGGAATCGCAGGGCTGTTGAGGGGCCACTGCAGAGGCTGGTGGGAGGGGGAACGCTGAGTCCAAATTTGAGGGACTGCAGAGAGGCTAGTGGAGGGGTTTTGTGCAGCATGTGTTATCATGGGAGATCTCACAGCTCCTCTCTTGAATCAGTTTGTTCGGCCATCGTGAGGACATACGTAACTGGGAAGTACAAAGCAATTCCTTATTGGCTAACTCATGCTAAAGACAGATGGGATGTTATGAGCTCTGAGGCTGAGCATTAGCAAGCTCACCACCCCGCTCAGGCAAACGAAGGGTCTCTGCTGGGCAGAGTCCTCCGGCCATCAGCCACCCTGTCTCTCCCTCTGCCTGTAGCGGTATCTTCCCTGCACTTCTGCAGACTGTCTCACGGCTTTCTCTCAGATGTCTGCATCAAGGTTATGCATCTGTGTCATACCAGAGCTGGGCTTCGTATCCTTAGTAGACAGGCAGCAAAACTCTGGGATGGAAGAAGCTTACGGGGAGAGAGAGAGAAATATAATGAGGCATATGGCTGAGGTCCTGCTTCTAGGAGGAGTAAAAGAATATTGCTAGTGTTGGAAAATACAGAGCTAGTACTGCATCTGTTGTAAATTGCCCTTGTAGCTGTTGGTGCTTGCTGGTACCTAAGCAACTCAGTTTGAACTAAATAATAAATATTTAAGGGAGTATAACTGGATTTATTTTTGTTCTAGCAAACTCCTTGTAAAGCACATCTTGAAGAGAAAGCAACCCTACGTTCTGTAGGAGCTGGTAAGTACTGTGCAGCCTCACTTGCAAGGATGGCAGTGTTGAATTTACATTTTAGTTTGAGAGTATTGTTAATGGTTTTCTGGATTTGGCCCTTACTTAGTAAGAAAAAATTTTCACTGAAGTAAGGAATGAGTTAGGATTTATGGATTGTCCATATATAGGGACAACAAATAGTAGAGAATCTGTCAGCTACTACTTGCTTTTGTAATCTATGAATATAAACCAATCCTTTAGCGGGCAAAAGTCACCTCTGTGCAGATGAGGCATATAAGCAAACTAAAATATTTTGTGACAATATGGTATGATTTTTTTCATTCATGTTTTGGAAAATTGCAAATGTATATCAGCTGCATACAACATATTATATGTACATGCTTTTAGACACAAAAGAAAGTAAGTTGGAATAACCTTCTACTATCTTTTGCTTCTAATCCTTCCTTTTTCCGAATACTAAGGCCATTTCAAGGGAGTGGTTTTGTTGATACAAGTGTGTGGATTTCATACACACTTGTATGAAGAGTTCATACACAATGAGTTCACACTGCGTTGCTGCAGAACAGTACTGATGTGCAAGCACAGAGCTGATAAACTCAAAAGTAAATTTGCTGTAGTGGCACTGCCCAGGTGCTTGCTTTCACAGCCTTCTGTTAATCCAAAGCTGGCTATTACTACCTCCCAGAAATGACAAAATTATTTGGAATATATGTATCAGATGGAGTCATTCTGTAATTTTTGAAGGCACTAGAAGCACATTTTAGAACTCAGAAAGCATAGTAATACTTTTAAACCTCATGGTATTGAAATGGTGAAGGGAATAATAAAAGTCACAGTTGCCAGTTTATTAATGAAAATGCTTGCTCATTCTTTGTATTCACCAACATGTACATCTCCATTGTACTGAAAGGGACTGTGGCTGTTTCTGGTAGGAAGTCCTAGTTCTCCAGGCTATGGCATAAATATACCCTATCTTGGCTGAAATTCTTCAGAAAAGGAGCTCTCTGATGTCATCTCTTAGTGAGTTGCAGGAAGAACCAGTGAGCGTTTCTGGGGTTCATTGCACTTTTGTTGAATATGCAAAGAATAAAATGGTACTGCTTCATCTGGTATAACAGAGTACTGTGGGGTTTTTTGGCAATACATATACTATGTATTTGTATAATTACATTGATGTAAAAGTACATTTACCTTATTTCAGCTGTTTGGAAATACCAAAGTACAGCTCCCACACATTTGTTTTGGGGCAGATTATCTATTTTGTGGATAAACTGTACTATGGACACAGACAACATAGCTGCCTCTGTCCAGAATTGATGCACTGTACCAGAACTCAGAAACCCTGGCAGAGCAACAGCTTGGTGTGTGGTGTAGGGACTCAACAGCTCTGAAGGAAGCTAATGTGGGCCCAGAAAGGATATGTAGGTCAAGTTTAACACTACATTGTCTGCATGGTGCCAACTGAATGTGTCTTCACCACTCTCTGAGCCTGCTTGTGGGGCTGGCAATTCAGTTGTCTATTTACACAGTGCTGCATCTGAGCTAATTATTCTTTCTAGGACATGGAAGGCTAGGGATCATTGCACTGGGATACCAGTGTGTCTCTGCACAGAGCTAGGTCAGGTCCAGCAGAGCTTTCTAGCTCAAGTTTATCACTTGAACATTTGCTACGCACAAACTAACCCCACATTAAACAAGATGGGTGCAAAGTCAGCTGTGCAGGACAAAGAGAAATTGTGGGAACTTGGTTTATCCAGAAGAAGTGATACTAGTTTTCTCCATGATCTAGAAAATGTCAGGTACTTATTACTCCAATTTAACAGACAGCTGACTATATCTGACTTTTGTGTACAGAATCAACTGTTCATGAGGTTTTATTATTTAATGTCATCCTTTTGCAGACATGACAGTTGTTGAAAATCAGTGTCCTCAAGAAGCAAAGAACTTGACCAAACAACTTACAAAGGCTTACAACGATAACAGCTTCAGCAAATTATTTTCCTTTGGGAACTCAAACCATTTGGCAATTGATTTGAAATTACTCTATGGCGACCTATCAGTTGTCTCAAAGGATATTAATGATCAACCAATACAGCAGCTCTTTCTTCATGAAATCCTTGCAAACCTTAACTCCACCATTGTGCTGGAAGGTGAAGCAGGAAGTGGAAAAACAGCATTGCTCAGGAAAATAGCTCTTCTTTGGGCCTCAGGCTGCTGCCCCATTCTGAGCAGGTTTAAGTTTGTATTTTATCTCTCCCTGACTTATGCAAGATCAGATCAGAGCATGGCTGATATCATATGCAATCAACCAGTAGGATTTGTGGGACCACTAACAGAAACTACTCTAAGAGATGTAATTCAGCCACTGAAAAACCAGGTCTTATTTCTTTTGGATGACTACAGTGAAATGAATTCAGTGCCCCAAGCTGTAGAGGAACTTATACAAAAGAACCATCTCTACCAGCATTGCTTGGTTGTTGCTGTCCGTACTAACAGGATGAGAGAAATTCGCAAGTATGCAGCCACCACTTTAAGCATCGGAGAGTTCCCTCTGTCCAGCACTCTATATATACTGAAGAAATTGTTCTCCTGCAATATCAGCCTTGTGGAGCAGCTTCTCTTTCAGCTGGAGTTTAAAAAGTCTATGCAGACCATTATAACGACACCACTTTTCATGGTGTCTCTTGCTGCGTATTGGGTACAGCACCCAAAGGGTGACATAATCAGTGATAAGGCTATTTTTAAAGCCTATCTGCTCTATCACTTACTAAAACACAGTGAAGAAAGAGAACATGTACTGGCTATGTTTTCCTCATGTGGTGAGCTTGCCTTAATCGGTCTTTTTAAGCCATCCTTTGAGTTCACCGAGTATGATCTGTCTGAAGCAGGCGTTGATGGAGATGAAGCTGTTAGGCTGGGTTTACTGAGCAAATTTACTGCCCAAAGGCTTCATCCAGTTTATAAATTCTTTCACCCCTTGTTCCAGGAGTTTCTTGCAGGGAGAAGACTGAGCGAGCTCCTGGTTTCTGATGAAAAAGAAAAACTGGAGCAAGGGCTGCAGTACTTGCAGCAAATCAATACATTTAGAAAAGTTGCTGGGCGCTATAATTTTTTATTGGTTTATGCTTGCAGCTTTTCTTCCAAAGCAGTCCCCCAAATTATATCCCATTTATTTAAATTGATTGACTGCAAGCAGTCATTGGAAAGCCAGTCAGAAAACGATGAACATCTGCAGCACCATTCAGACCTGCCAATAAGAATGTGTTTAATTGACCAGTTAAGTTTTATTGATCCAAAACTGCTTCTTCCAGTTTTCATTCAGTATTTACTGGACTTTGCTACTTCTGTAGTTTACAGCACTAATACCGTTTCTGTGTGTGCCCCAATCATTCTTCAGTTCCTAAGAGGCAAAGATATTTGGTTAAGTTCATTTTTACTATCACAAAAACCTAACTTGAGGTTTTTTCAGGATTACCCAGAATCACTGTCTCTACCCAGTAGTTTTCAGGTTGCAGTACAAGGAAGTGAACACAAACAAGCATTTAATGTATCTGAGATAGCCACTTGCTATTCTTCACTGGAGATGCCAACAATTGACCGGGATTACGCTCCTGCATTTACACTTTTTAAAGACATGGCACAAAAAATCAAAGAAAAAAACATTAATAGCTTTTTTTCTCTGATACAAAGACATCTACCAGACTCTATCGTATGTCCTTTCCTACTTACAACAAGGAAGATGCCGCTTTTAAAATGTACATTCACAAACATCAGTTCCCTTCAGGAAGCTGACCTCAGAAATTTGATGACACTGTTTTCCATTTCGGATTATATTGAACTTCGGTTGAGTAACAGTCCTGGACTCATAGAAGTTATCCGACCAGCTATTGAACAGTACAAGGAGCATTTTAAAAAATGTAGTCTACATCATCTTAACCTGAGCACAACAGAGCAAGAATTACTTCTGTCGATGTCTTTTGTGGAATGTCTTGAGGTAGATGAAAAAGAAATACCAGGTACAGCGTACTGAATTTTGGCAGAATGTAATTTTTCTCCCTAGTTCCCTTTTTCTTCCTCTCCCCTTGGTGCCTGACAACTGAACAGCTCCATATCCATGAATAATAAAGCTGTCTTCTACCACACGCATTTCCAGGGATAGGCAGCCATTCTGCATTAACAGATTTCCACCCTGGCCCCTAATTTCAGACTATGACCTCAGTACTGGTTTTTGATCTAAGAGATGTATGTCACTACAGAGGCAGAACTGCACTTCATCTGGGTGGGTCTGTGCTGGCTTTTCAAAATAGAAGGATAGTGGGCAGTGCAGGTGTATTTATAGGGTCCTGCCAGGTGTATACTCAGGCTGCAAGCAACAGAAGCCTCAATGAGGATAGGTTGGCAGGGAAGGGCAGTGGTACAAGGAGGATAGGAAGCAGCAGTCAAGAGAATGGAAGCCAAAGATGTTGGGATGTGAAATAGTGAAGTTCAGCTACAAAAACCTTGGCAAATTGTCAGAACAGAGGGATCAAACAGATCAATTCAGTTTCTTTGTATGTTTGTCTGGCTTCATCACAGAACTACTTTTTTCAAATTTGGACAAATTCATCTGCCTGGAGGAACTGTCAGTGAGTCAATGTGAGAACTGCAATGTATTTGACACAATACCTGATGGCTTCAAAAATCTCCGTAACATGAAGAAATTGTTGATGAGCAGAATGAAGCTTGAAAACTGCTCTAGGCTGGGTAAGGTGCACTTTAAAACTTTAGGTACTGTATTCCACTGGAACTTGTTAATACTGAGTAGCAGTTTTAATTTCTCCTTTAACAGGCATGTAGCATCTTTGAGTTGCCTTCCCATTGCTTCTGCCCTACAGCTTCTACCTTGAATTTACCACCCCAACGGAAAAAAGGAACTGAACCTTTCAGTACGTTAGCTATTGATCTCCATAAGTTAGTATGGAGAAACAAGCGGGACTGTGCTCTTTGTTTTCCTGGAGTGAGTATTCTCCCTTCTCACCACTCACAGTCCGCTGGGAGGAAGAAGAGAAGGGAGCACAATTAGCAACTGAGTCCAGATCATGTGCAGAGGTGCTCTGACACATCAACGAGCAGGTCTGACTTCTGGTTTTAGCTGCCTTACTCCAGGAAGAAGCTCACTTTTAAGTCCAGGGCCCTTAGATAACCAATTTTTTGTACACTGTGATAATGACTATCCAGCTGTACTTCAATATAAACATACAGTGCAAACCAACAATATTCAGTGAGCTGCACCTTCAATATACTGTCAGATAGGGGTGTACAATGTACCTAAAACTAATGACTTTAGCGGGAAGGTGTTTATGGAGTTTCTGTCCCGCTAAATGTTGAAAAACTAGAATATTTTTCACATGTGAAAGAAACCAGATATGAATCTATAGCAAAACTTGCTTGCATTTTAAGGCCAGAATGATCCATCATGAGTCAGCTTTTTATGTGTCTCACTTGCTTTTGTTGTGATAGAAGATGCTTCTCTCTACAGTAAAGTTCACAGGTGGAGCTAGCAGAACCTTCTTGATTTTTTACACAATGACTCTCCAGTGTTGCAATACTTTATTTTGTAGTTGAATTTATTAAGAGCTTCCAAGACCTCTCTGTTTTTCACCTGGACTGCTCCAGCTACTTTGATTCTGAATCCCTTCTGACAGCAATTTCTTCATGCAAGAAATTAACAGAAATCAAGTTAACTGGGTCATTTTTGAGAGATCAAGATTTGCTTTCTTTAGGTAGGAATTTTTTTAACACAGAAAACTTTTTAAAACTTAATAGTTGAGAGAAACTACTAATTTTAAGTTCCAAGAATGACAATGTGCTTTTTTTTTTTTCTTTCTGCCTAGCTGCTGCTCTGCCCAATTTTGTCTCTCTCAAAGTGTTGGGTCTTGGAAGCCAATATTTTGATGACAAGGAAGCTTGTGAAATCTTTGGTTTGTACCTATCTTTCCTTTTGGCTGATTGCATTTGTTGCATTTAAACAGAATTATTTTGTTTCAGGTTCTTTTGGAGAGCTTAAGAAATAACTTGAACAGCTTAAATGCCATCTGAGATACGGGAGAGTATCTAGAGCTAGAATGTTAAATCAGGTCTCACAAAGCAGTTTGATGAAGGGCATGCATTCACGTCCTTCTGAGAGGGATGAGCCCAGTGAGATGGATGGCTGTCCTAAACTATGGAACCAGAGGTGTTTGGCACCCCTGAAAGCCAAGATGGTCCTCCTGCAAAAGCCATGTCTATAGGAAACAGGGAAAGGTTGAAAAGGCTTGCATTTTGGGAAGGGAGGATTACCTTATTTTTTTTCCTGTGGGTCCCTTGAGTTTGGAAACATGGAAGATTCCTTTTATCTGTAGAGGACTCATGAGACCTCTTAGACCCTTTCTGGAGAAGTACTTCTGCCTTTTCTGTTGATGACCTTTTCAAGCTATGGAGTTAGAGTGAAGTGATGTTCACAACAATGGCGGAGGCGAACCTGAGAAAAGAAAGCTGACAGTAACCTATTGCCTGGAATCTAAATTTAAATGTGTTTTTTTACTCGGCTCTGCTGCTGTCACTCATTGGCATTACAAGATTTAGGAAAAGTATACTTGTTTAATCTTAACAGGAATGGTGGTCTTCTCTCTGCAGCACATAGTTTAGGTGGTGTTCTTAACATGGAGGAGCTCATCCTTCCTGCAGGAAAGGGAATAAAGTCTGCAGCCAAACTGATTGTGCAGCAGTGTCTACACCTGCTGCACCTCAGATGCTTCTCATTTATCCTATGTCTGGATGATGACGGCCTATTAGAAATAGGTGAGTTTAAAGGAGAGAACTTCAAATGTGAAATAACCTTTCTGAGTAGAGAAGATACTGCTTCAGGATCAATTAACCTTCTGTTTGTATACATTACAATTGCAAATTATTTGTAATTTTTAATGGGTATCGTTTCTTCCTGTTTGTTCTATACACAGGCCAAACTATTTCTTGCTTATCAAAGAGTATTCAGGCTGCTCATATACTTTTGAAATGCCTCAGTTCCCCTTGTCTTCTACAAAACAATGTAAATTACAAGAAAAATAATCAATGATAAAAAAAACTGACTTAAAATAGAGCTTCATAACTTTGTTGCTAGTTATATTAGCTTATATCCCCTAGCTGTTAAAACTGTGTATTACCAAAATATTTATTGAATTTAATACTTATTTAGTGTAGTCTTAAAACTACCACCTCGTATATAGGCTAGGGAAAATGTCTTCTTTTGTAAGCAAATGCCAAGTGTCATATCATCTCCCTTATTTTTTACATACATTTTAGTATATAGTGATATGATGACAAGAGTCCCATCTTGTAAGTAGGCTGACCGTAAGGCAAGACTCCAGAGCAGATGTGATGGTGCATGGGCATGAGGGAGATATTGTTAAACTCATTATCTTGCATCTGTGCAAAGCTGATCTGGTGCCTGACCGCAAGTGGTTGCATAGGCTGGCGTTCTATTTGCTTTGCTCTGCAAAAGTGGTATTCTAACACTCATAAACACACTGGTATCTTACTCTACTAGGCATTAATGTGCCTGTTAAAAGTAGCCTCTATTTTATCAGTCTCCTCAGTCTGAAGTATAAAAATGCATAAATGAGTTGAGCTCAAAGTTCTACTTTTTTCAACTTCATAGCAACAACTTTTATTTTTAATGTACAATACCTCAGCTTCACTATATTTTCATTAGTGTTTCACATGGGTTTGGAGCATCTTTAAATCCTTACTGATGTCTGTTTATTTTTGCAGCAAAGGTTGCAAACCGTGGAGGTTTCCAGAAGCTTGAAAATCTCTATTTGTCAGTAAATCATGATGTTACAGAAACTGGTTGGAGAAACTTCTTTAGAACACTTAATAACATGCCTGCTTTAAAAGAGCTGAACATTAGCCGTATGTTCACACATCAGATCAAAGCCAGTGCATCAACAGTGACAGCTTTTGTCCAGTGTGTTTCTCGACTGCCTGGTCTCGTGACAATAGTAATGTTCGGTTGGCTCCTTGACGCAGAGGACCTTAAAATGTTTGATATCATGAAGGAGCAGCATCCCCAGTCTAGGAGTTTAAAATTATCTTGGCAGTGGGTCTTGCCACTTTCACCAAACTTTCAAGACTAGAAAAGTTTGAGAGTGTTAGTAGTTTTGTTTGTTTTGTTTTGTTTTTCCTCCTCCTTCTTTTATTACGAATTATACACCTGCATTGCAAATAAACATATATTGTAAAATTTTTACCAGGATGAAACATGCCAGTCTCTTCCACAGCAGGGTTAGGTTAATGTAAATGGATCAACGAGTAGAAGACAGGATTAATGTAACTCTAATACCTGACTTGCTTTGCAAATATGGTTGTTATAGATTGTACCAAAGTGATTTCTTCCAAAGAAAAATGTAAAATTTTGCTTAAAGCCTATTTATTATTTCTATTCAGTTGTTTTGCTTGCAATGAAATCAATTACATTAATAACTTATGAAATAAAAATCCTAAAACCCTTTATGGTCAGGACTGCACTAAAAATAATACTGGATGCTGGATTTTACTAGTGTTAAAAACCAATAAAGACCACTTTTTGTAACATAATGCCAGATACTAAGACTGGACTAGCTGACTGAGGCAGGTGGCAGTTACGTCTCTTTCTTTAGCAATGAAGAGCTGCAGCACAGCTGATTTGGAAGCTTTACATCACTGCAACCAATCTTAATTTACTTCAGCTAGAAAATTAAGAAAAAGCCTTCAAAATCGCTTAGGGAAGTTAAGATTATGTCTTTCTCTTTTTGCTCAATTATTTGTGGGAAAACTTTTCTTACACTCAACCATAGTAGGAAAAGGAACTGAACACATCAAAGTTCGGCCCTGTATTTGGCTAGTTTCCCTGAAAAAGCAAACACTAGCATTAAACTAAATTACTGTCTAGTTTTGTGGCTGCAGCCTTGTGTTGGTTTTGTGTGGCAAGGTTTTG